AAATACGTACAGGTGAATACAAAATGTGTACATGTAAACACGTGTACATGTCCTAAATTAAAACTGGAATTTTGAGCATTGACGTAACTCGGTCAAGTATCTACTATATATCAGTCTAGATTGTGTAGGCACGGTACTCGAGGTGACCTTCATACAGCCATCCACCAGTCTTCATTATCCTAAATCCAGGATATTTACTTCAGTGTGAAATTATTGTAGTATTTGAACAACCACGCAAGGCAAGCCAGTTTCCCTACACCTGTTGTTGAAAATGCTGTATATATTTTCCAGAAATACAGTAGTTATATGTAAATAGATGGCCATACTGTATTTAATAAAATTTGTCATAAAAAATGGGAAGCTGCGCCTGCGCAGAAAACACTCGCCATTGCTGTCTGAACTGGTCAACATAAAGTTAGTGAAATCGGAAGAATTTTTCGTGCTCTAGAGGTTAAAATTGGGCTGACACCTCTCAAATAGGAGCCGAAATTGTTGGATGTGCATTCCTGCATAATTTGAGTATCAGGCGACAGGACAGGACAACTCCAGGAACCTCAGATAAGCTGTCTAATTTATGTTTAAATTCAGGCCAGTAAATTTTTCATAAATGTTGGCAAAAAGGGGAGTCCTGTACATGACACATTAATCTCCAGTCAAATTGGCGATTGATATTAAGATATTTTCCTTCTGTTATGTAAATGTGTGTATATATAATCCTTTTTTAATTTTAATATACAGTCCACAAATTTATATATTTACCAGAATTCCTGGTGATACATATTTCATTTATAATTAATGGGTCCAGAGCAACTTGTGGATATGACAGTGGTAGGTATCGAAGAGGGACTTTTTGCGACCTGGGTGTCCCAAATTCCTATTTGTCTAACTGATAAATAATAATTATCTTTGTTCATTTACTGTTATATACATAATGATACATTCAGATAAATACAATTTTCCACACCTGTTGCCCCTGCTCACCTAACATTAAGTACGTACCAAGGTATGTCTACTCTCGTAGCTGGTATCCTGAGGTGAATGGCAGGTAGTAGCAAACCTTAACTTTTTACCAACTGGGGAAGTCCGTTTCTCAAAAATAGCTTTCGTGCAATTTTGCGCTCTAGAAATAGCAACCCCCTCCCCTTCCATTTTAATATTTGTTATTCTTTGTTAGGTTTGGTTATCGTATATTAACCTGCTATACATTTCCATATTACCAGACAATAACTAAACGAGAAAATTGGGTGGCTTACGTCTAGGCGCATTTCAATTTGGAGCGTGAATTTTCTAAAAATACTGAAGGATAGGTTGATCTAAGAAAGGGGAATGAAGTAACAACTCTTAGCCTGTATATTCAACTGTGTAAAAAAAAAGGGAGGGGGAGGGGTAAAGCATGTGGTAGGCAGACGTCCTTCAGTGAGAGTAAACACTGAGGCTTCCTGAGAGCTGCACCTCACGAGATTTTTTACTGAACGTTTCACCTACACGATTGGCTTTATAGTCACAGAGGATGGGGATAGAAGATGTGCATATATACTCTTATTGTGATAGCGGCAGCCTGAAGAATGAGGCTTTAAGGTATGTTTGGTAAATGGACACAGATGCAACTAATTTGACATTTTATTATAGCAAAGTTCCTGGAGAGCGAAACATTGACAATACAACGTCGCATTAGCTACATTTGTGTCCATTTACCTAACATTTTGTTGGTAATTCTACCATATCATAAAAATCTTTGAAAGGGTTCTAAGAAGCAAGATCGCCAACCACCTAGATACCCATCAGTTACACAGCCCAGGGTAACGGGTTTCAAGCAGGTCGCTACTGCTTGTCCTAGGTACTATATCAAGGTCCTGGATGCTGTAGAGGATAAACAAAATACAGATGTATACACAGACTTTGCAAAAGTTTTCGACAAGTGTGAACATAATGTAATAGCACACAAAATGCGTGATAAAGGAATAACAGAAAAAGTTGGTAGATGGATCTACAACTTTCTAACAAACAGAACACAGTAATAGTAAACAGTAAAGTCTGAGGCAGCTACGGTGAAAAGCTCTGTTCCACAAGACAGTACTCACTCCCATTCTATTCCTCATATCTGACTGACAAATGTAAGCCATAGCTCCGTGTCTTCCTTTGCGGATGACACCAGGATTGCCATGATAATGACAAATTCTAACCATACAATAGAGCAAAAAAGTAATGTGAAGGACCTGGAAGTAATAATGTCAGAGGATCTCGACTTCAAAGACCACAACAATGTATCTACCGCATCTGCTAGGAAAATAATAGGATGGATAATAACCTTCAAAACTAGGGACGCCAAGCCCATGATAATTCTCTTCAAATCGCTTGTTCTCTCTAGGCTGGAATACTGCTGTACACTAACTGCCCCCTTCAAGGCAGGCGAAATTGCTGACCTGGAGAGTGTACAAAGAACTTTCACGGTACGTTAAGGCACCTAAATTACTGGGAACGGTTGAAGGCCCTTGATCTGTATCCCCTGGAGCGCAGGTGAGTGAGATGCATGATAATATACACTTGGAAAATCCTAGAGGGATTAGTACCAAACTTGCACACGAAAATCACTCCCTGTGAAAGCAAAAGACTCGGTAGGAGATGCAACATTCCCCCAATGAAAAGCAGGGGCGCCACGAGTACACAGAGAACACAATAAGCGCCCGGGGCCCAAGACTGTTCAACTGCCTCCCATCATACATAAGGGGGATTACCAATAGATCCCTGGCTGTCTTCAAGAAGGCACTAGACAGGCACCTAAAGTCAGTACCTGACCAAACCTGACCAACCGGGCTGTGGTTTGTACTCAGTTTACGTGCGGCCAGCAGTAACAACCTGGTTGATCAGACCCTGATCCACCACGAGGCCTGGTCTCAGATCGAGCCGCGGGGGCGTTGACCCTCGAAACCCTTTCCAGGTATAGTGCCAGAACGAAACATTCAATATTGTCCAAATCATAGGCAGTACATCATGAAATTTTACGAAATGGGAAATATCCGACATTTAGGTGGCGTCTCGTGGCTCGGATGGCAACGCTCTCGCCTCTCACACCAAGTGTCCATGGTTCAATCCCCGGCACGGGTGGAAACGTTGGACATGTTTTCTTATACCTGATGTTCCTGTTTACCTAACAGTAAGAAGGCACGTGAGTGTCAGTTGATTGCTCTGAGTCGCATCTTGGGGGATAAGATTAAAGGACGCCAGTGAAAACAAGACGGTCGTCGAGGATGCACCGACTCACCCCGGGGTGTCCAGCGTCAAGTAAGTAGTAGGTTCGCTGGTATTGTCCCAGCGCGGGTCTTTTCCAGATGGTGACCCGGCGCGCCAGGGTCAAGGGGTCACAAACCACCAGCATGGTAAAATAGTCCAGCGTCAAGGGTCACAAACATCATATATTCAAGTTGACCTTGTACCAAGTATAGAGGTCATCACTCGGGTTAATTTAGAAATATTTACACTGGTACATATTAGAATTTCGTTAATTGTATTAATTTAACAGTTCATCCGTGATGTGTTTCTCAAAATATTTCTGTTTTATCATAATGTATCCATCGTTGAGGAAGACGCACAAAACTTCTACAAATTGAGCACCAAACCCCAATGAGTAGGTTTTTTTTTTCAAAATATTTCGACTCGCTAGATTACAAGGACTAGGAACTTACACAAATGACTTTCATATTAGATAAGCTTCTTAATAAAAGTACAACAAAATATATACCCCACAAGCCATGTCAGCATCAATATAAATTTTGCAAAAAAATATATATTAAAGGGTTAATAAAATATGGAATATAGTGTTAAGGACTGGTCATATATGTATATAGAGGTGAATCTATTGAACATCGCCCAGCGTGCCACCGATGGAGTATTTTGTCATCCCGGAGGGCTAGTAACCCAGGATAATTAAGGAAAGTTGATCAGTGTGCCTTATTTCCACTGGGATCATTTGGTTTCCCCAAGATGCGACCCACTCGAGTCTGCTAACACCTAAGTTCCTACATGTTCCTGCTAGACGAACACTAGTAATAAGGATAAGGAAATCACGATCTGAATCTCCACATTACCCAAATAATAATAATTAATAATCTTTATTTCTACAAGTACATGTACAACGTATACAGGCCAAGCTGACATTAATGACGTACTACTATATAGAAGCCGCTTGTTATGCTGAGCATTTTGGGGCAAATTAAGTCAGTTATGCCCCAGGATGC